CCTGTCAAAACAAAACTACCACAGCTATTACCTAGAAGGGAAAAACCACTCACAGACAATAAACAGCATGTGATAAGAGGAGAACATACCTATGCACATCTCCTATATTCTCTATAGAAAAATGACCAACCTATTGATGACCAACCTATAATATGATCTTCTCATCTACAAACTTGTTGGACTACATTCAAGCCTGTCCTGGGATACATATGGCCCACAGACTGCAGGTTGGACATGATTATGCAAATCACCTCCATATTACTTAAACCAGACATAATGAAAATGATAAGTAGATAATCCTTGTTCTATCATAATGTCTGGAGAATAAAGTCAACAGAAACTTTGTACATGCACAATTTTAAGGTCTTTATTTTCCATGTGAGAGGTGCTGGATCCACAGATGCACATCAACTACACTCATAAAGTAGATAAGATGCTGGCCTCCATTCAGTTCTTGCCTGCTAAGCCAGTTCCCTCCCAATGCACAATCATCAGAACCAGACCCAAGAGAAAGAAAACAAATATTGGGGGGGGGGGGGAGTAAGGCAAGCCCATTCCACAGAGCACAGCTGGTCACCAGGCCAACATTTTAGTGGACAATGGTGCTTTATTTTGTTTGGGTCAGCTCTATTAAAGGGGCACATATATAATTGCAGGCTCTAATATAAAAGAAAGAACTAAATGGTCATCTATGTAAGAATTATCTGAATTGCATTAGAAGGGCTTAGGTACCTAAGCTAGAAACATTCTGAAGCTTCACAGTGAACACAAAAACAGATTTCTTGTCTTTTGTTTTCCTGGAAGATTCTGAATCTGGTAGACCAGAAAGGGCTCAAGGTGCCCCATCACTGACATGCACACTGAGATGCACTACTACTTAATGAAGTGTAGTTACAGTCCAAGAAAGTCTAACATACATGTCTAAGCACTGAGATGCTGCCAGCATCACTGAATCCACCAGGATAAGCTAGGAAAGCAGAGCTACAATTCCCTTTCACCTAACGGCAGATGTCTAATAAGAACTTCCATTTAAAACTTAACAGAAGCTTTAAAAAAAGGGTTTTATAAACCAAAACAGACAAAAGCAAGGCTTCTTGGTAGCAGCATTTTTCTCGGTTGGACTCTGTTTTGTTTGATTCAAGCTGAGATTTGCGCAGCTCCTTTAAGGGAGGTTTCCTGACTCAGCATAAGCGGCTTTTAAGAAACTCTGCTAACAATTTATTGGTGTGTATCAGAGCTGGCCATGGCAGTGGCCACATCTCCCAGCTGGCAACATGGTGCTGAATGGCAGCATACACCAAGGCAGTGAGCACAGCTCTCAGTTCTGGCGGTAAAATATCCGCCACCATTTTGGATAGACTGCGGCTAACACAGCTATGACTTTCATTTTAGCAGTGTTGTTGTTTAGATAAAGATTCATGACCAGAAAAAGATAAAGATTTACAGTAAAGACAGATTCACATTTAGAAAAAGTGCTAAAGGTTTACAATGTGTTCTAAAATATATGTAGGCTTGGGAAAGAAAGGAATAAAATGGTTTCAAAAAGACAGCCAGGAGCTGGAATGGTGGCACATGCCTTTAATCCCAGTACTCAGGAGACAGAGGCAAGCAGATCTGTGATTGCAAAGTAAACCTGGTATGCAGAGTGAATTCCAGGACAGATAAAAATTACACAGAGAAACCCTGTCTCAAAAAATGATAAAATTAAAAGAAACAGTAATAAAAAAGCCATGTAAAGATGTAAAGAATCTGGATACTGTACGGTATTATATTGTCTTTGTATCGTCTGACTGCTGAGGAAATAACTGTTAAAACAAATGCTGCTGTATCAATCCAACTTATATATTTTAAAAATGCTTTGACTTCAAATTTAAGTCTAAGGACAAGTTACTGGGGAGAAGGATTTCTATTTTTGTTTCCACAGAAAATGAAAAGCTGTGGACTCCTTCCAGACTAATGTGTTTTGATCAAGCCAGAACCCCTGAAACAGAGTCGCAGGTGATCCAACATTCAAAACAGTTGGGAGATAGCAGCCTTACAGACTACAGCCAGGATATCTGTGTCTTCTTAGGATCACCAATGACAGCGCCCCCTACCAGCAGGAAGCAGTTTGGGAAAACAATACCCAAATTCCCAAATACTGTTTATAAATGTTTGTTTCATTTAAGTGGACGTGGTTATAAATGTTAATGACTACAACCAATCTTTTTAAAGGTAAAAAGGGATTATGGTATAGATATGAATACTTTTGTTTTTGGAATGGATTTTCATTTATTGATACAATTTAAGGTCAATTTTGTGATGTGTATATTTCTCATCTTGTTTAGGTATTGTGTTTATATAGCTCATTTAAAAATGTATAACTTAGTACAGATTATAGATCGTAACCTATAATAGTCAAAACTTATAGTTAAGTTACTTAGGATTTCTAGATATACAGAGATGTATTTGAGATAAATAAGCATTCTTCAAACCTTTCAAAGACCTACAGAATATGGCATTTAAAATGGTTTCGGGTTTTTCATGACAGTGAGACATAACTGCTCCTGGCAACACCCCCTGCGTCAAAAAGGAAGATGGACATTAAAGAAACACATTATGGAGTTAGTCTCCAATATGACAAGACTAGCCATTTGGACAAGATACTGTTCTTGTCTGGACTGTTTGACTTTATGCTGTATAAACTGGACATGCAGGACCCACAGAAATGTGACTGCTGATTCAAGATGGACATTGCTACAGAGTTCCTGCTTCATGGAAGAGTCTGCCAGACAGTCTGCAGAACACAGAGAAAAGTGACTGACAAACTTCCAGTACAAGAAGACAATTTAAAGTTTCCTGCTTTGCTAAAGATTTTGCCAGACACACTATGGCCTATGGGCTGAAAATGAAACATTACAGAAGAACTTCGTGTGACTGACCAGGCAGTGAATTGTCTCTGTCATTTCTAGAGTTTCATATACTGTCCTTCTGTGGTCTTTGAAGGCATTGAAGACAAATAGTTATGGTTATAGTTTTCCTTAGTTAGGATTAAAGATAAGTTACATAGACCTTAAACACACAAAGATAGGATAGATGATGGAATATTTTCTTCAAATCTTGCTAAATGTTAATGGACTAAATATTGCAACTGTCATACTGGTTAATGAATAAAGCACTGTTGGCCAATAGGAAAGCAAGATAGGCAGGACTAGGAGGATTCCAGGAAGTAGTAAGGAGGAGTCAGCATGGAGAGACTGGGGAGAGCAGATGCCAGCCTCACTCTCCGGTAAGAAGAGACCGTGGAAATACTTAGATTAATAGAAATGGGTTAATACTTAAGACAAAGCTAGCTGATAAGAAATAAGTAACTGGCCAACAGCGTTATATCGAATACAGAGTCTCGGTGTGTTATTTGGGGCTGGTGTGGCAGTGGAACCAGGGACCAGGGGGGGAGGGGGGGAGCGGGACCTCTGGTAACACTGGCAACCAAAAGCTACTGAAAGAAAGATAGGAGAGCTAAGGGGATTATCATAAGAACAAAGAACAGGTTAGGGTTATGGTTAGGGGTTTTGAAAACAGGCAGGTTTTACTGCTTTAAAAAAAAAAAAGTGTTAATACAGTGTTAACAGTGATCACCTCTTGCTAAGATAAGATATCTCTTTCTGATTGTACATTAAATGGAGACATGGCCGCAACACTTGCTTCCCAAGAGCCGGAGAACATTGCACACTGTAAGTAATGTCATTCTCTTAGTTCTGAGAAATACTAAAGATAGAGAAGATTTTACATGGGGAAGAAAGATAAAGAACATTCAGGAATTATCTATACTAATATTTGAAAATTGGTTTTTCAAGGCCAAAAGACAACTTTCTTAAAAGCATAGTCAGTTTTTTTTTGGGGGGGGGGGGATTGTTTTTTGTTTGTTTTTGTGGCTAAGTTTTGTCAAATCATTACTGTACAAGCAAGTATATGGAAATATGGAAGGTTCATTGTCACCAATAAACACAAGGAAGAAGAGAAATGGCCGCCTGGGGGTTGACCAGCCACTACCTGCACACTATGCCTTCAGCAGCTAAGATGTATCACTGGTGACCAAAGGCATTAGACCTCAGTGTTCTAAACTAAGGAATTCTACTTTGGGCAAAAGCAGACAGTCACATTAATACCTTGGCTTATAGGGTCAGAGATTCCACAGACAATTTGTTATAACTGGGAACTCTTAGGAAGAAAGATATGAAATCATCTACCAAGTCAGACCTAATACCTGTCTCGTCAGTACAAAATAATTCTTGTAACACAAATGTCTTTTGTTTGACTGTAATACAAATCAGGCTTCTACTGACAACTTCAACCCATTAACAAACAGCAAGGTGAGCCAGTCTTGATGATACTCAGAATTTTGTAAAGGTAAGATAGTTTGCATACATCATTCCATCAAGAAAGGGAATCTGGGCAGAGCTGCTAAAACAATCTTCCCTATCCCTCTTGTTGGTAGCTCATCAGAGAAAATATAAAACTTATTGTGCTCTTTGGCTATGTGGGTTATGGTCCTCTCCCCAACGGCACACTTTCAATTATAGCTCTTCACTGAAAGCCCCATAAAATCCATATACCAAAGTGATGGGAGATGTCATTTGTAATATGTTTCTCTTATTGGTTAATGAATAAAGCACTGTTGGCCAACAGGAAAGCAAAATAGGCGGGACTAGGAAACAAGGATGATTCTGGAAGGCATAGGGAGGAGTTCCAAGATGGAGGACTGAGAGAAGACCGCCAGCCCCTCTCTCGAATAAGATAAGACCACATGGAAGTACTTAGATTAATAGAAATGGGTTAATAGTTAAGACAGAGCTAGCTGATAAGAATCTAGTACCTGGCCAACAGAATTATATCTAATACAGAGTCTCTGTGTGTTATTTGGGCCTGGCGCAGCGGTAGGACCGACAGGTGGCAAAAACTAATCATAACACCAAAGCACCTGACAAGACCCGAAGCACAGAAAACCAAGGGCAACTTACCATATTTGGCACATTGGTGACTGACGTATTCTTGATATCTGTAGGAAAAGCAGGCAAACTATTGACCATGCTCTGTTTACTGGATAACTGGGGATTTACACCAGTGGCTCCCATCTGCTGTCCTCCAGTTTGACTAAAGGGTTGTCCAAATGGACTTGTGTTACCAGTCATTCCCATCTGAAACAAAAATGACAGCTGTCATGACATAATCATAAAAACAAACAAACAAACAAAAGACTTCAGAAATGCTTGACTGACCCATTGGTGCCAAGGTGTGATCATCTCCTGTGACCCCTCCCCCAGTTTTAAATAAAAGTCTCATTATCAGAGTTCATTGTTAGAATTGTGAAAACTTTCATTAAAAAAGTTAATGCTACAGATAGAAAGCTAACAAAGTAGCTTAAATAATTATGGGTGTCCTAATTTACACCCCAGAAAAGGCCAGCACTTTCTTCCCTCACCACTGTGCAAAGCCACCACCAGCAAATCTTACACAGCAAAGACCCTGACTTGATGACCCTGGGGGCTTCTTCAACTAGTCTTTAATTGTTCCATCAGTGCTTTGATTCTCTTAGGTTCTTCATCAGATTTTAACAGTTTCAACTATTTCAAAATGCAGAGTAAGAACACGGTGAAAGGATAAAATATGTGGGCTCTGCATAAAAATGTTCAGGCAAGGCAAGTGATGACTGAAGGAGGGGGTGAAAAGTGAAGGCAACTTCATAACAGCAGAGACTATATCACCCACTATTACACATGTTGCATATTTTCCCCAATAATGTGTGTGTGTGTGTGTGTGTGTGTGTGTGTGTGTGAGAGAGAGAGAGAGAGAGAGAGAGAGAGAGAGAGAGAGAGAGAGAGAGAGAGAGAGAGCTTTCTTTTAAACTAAGGTGAAATAAAACCAACTATCAGGTAGATTAAGGCAAAGTCAGGAAGGAGGGACTCCCACTTCTGTCTCCACAGACTAGCCACACATGGAGATAGGCCAGTTTCGTCATGTACAATTAGCATCAACCTTGAGTATATGTGGGAGCCCCCCCCCAAAAGTGCCCAAATAAGTACCCAGTCCCCTTGAGAAGGAATAAAGAATCAGAGTGCTCAAGTTACCCATCTGTTTTTCAGAGCTAAAATATTCTTCCCCGATGCCTACTGCTGGTTCTGCGTGTCTGGCATCATATTCTGTTTGATGATTGAGCTGGGAAGAACAACCTTAAGTAGGGAAGACTTTCAGGAGACTAAGTTCCATTCAAGAAATCACAACCAAGCTGGAAATATAGCTCAGTAGAAAATAGTTTAAATGTTCTAGTCCACAGGTTTTATCCCCAGCAACACACACTGATTTAAGTTCTACCTAAGAAATCACTACTAGCCTCAGCTGGTAACTATCATACCAGTAAGCTCACTGTGTATAATGTATATTTCTTCCATGGACTTCAATCTTTTTGCTTCTAAGGTTACTATATCACTTAATTTCTTTTAGCTCTAAAAATCTAGATTGCAAACAAATCTACATGCAACACAATTAACTCCAATTGATGTCAATAATGCCTACATGCCAAAGGACAGGGAAGAGGAGCTTGCTATGTGCACCTGAGCTTTCTCATCTTTCTGCAAGTAAACCCATTCTAGCTGCAACCTTTGTACTAGGTTCTTAGTGTGAGTAACCAGAAACACAAATCCTTCACCCAGGAATGAGGTTCAAACCTGAATTCAGAAGGCTTGGTCAAGGCAGTACCTAACTGAATACAAAGGGCATTCCTGATCCTAACAAGACTCCTCCAATGTCATCTGAAACTCAGGGGAAAAAGAAAGAGAAAAAGAAAAAAACCCAGAATCACCTGTCCTCAAGTAGCAACTACTACTCTGAGTTTGTTTTATTAAATAAATCAATACGCTTGGTATTGTGCTTTACCAGCTGGTCCCATCTCACTAGCCCTAAAACATGGGTCTTAAAGGCCTAGAATTTGAAGAACTCACTGACCTAAAACTTCCAATTCCTAAATTTCTCTATTTTGAACCAAACATTTCTGAGCACATGCTTTTTTTCATTAACTCACAATCAATCCACCCTTACTGTTCACCAACTAGTTGGTGAACTGTTCACCAAGCCCAGTTGAGAATGTGTAAGAGAGATTATTCCTACTCTCCAAGGAACCTGGCTTCTTATATAGCTGAACATGACAAACACTTAAAAAAAAAAAAATGCTGGAAGCTTCCAACTTAATTAGATTTCAGCACCAATAATAATTAGCACCAAGACCCAAAGAAGGTAGCATGTGAAAGGGCCGAGTGCCATCATATGCCCCTCACTGAAGAAAGAGACCACAAGTATAGGACAATAAACTTTACCAAAGGCTCTCTATGAAAATATGTCTGACCTATTCTTAAAACAAAACAAAAACCAAGAAACTGTTTCTGTAACTGCAAACATTCCTGACTACATTCTTTAAAAACACCTTGCTAAGGCAAAAATCAGGTGTGTATATCTGGTCAGATAGGTTAGTGTTTGCCTGATTAGGCAAAGTCTGACACTTTCTTACTGGCTGCTTTTAAGGGTATGTGTTTCAAAACATTCTCATGGGTGCCTTTAGAAAAATCTCTTCCTCTATCTCTACTCCAGTTACTCCTGCCCCTTCTCTTTCTTTCTTTCCTTTTTTTTTTTTTTTTTTTTTTTTTGTTTGTTTGTTTGTTTGTTTTTCGAGACAGGGTTTCTCTGTATTGCTCTGTATTGCTAGGAAGTTGTCCTAGAACTTGCTCAGTAGACCGGGCTGGCCTTGAACTCACAGATGTCCGCCTGCCTCTGCCTCCTAAATGCTGGAATTAAAGGTGTGAGCCACCAACGCCTGGCGCTCCTGCCCCTTTCTTGAGTTGTAAAGTACTAAGATATAGATACCTAGGCTGGCTTTGAACTCAAGATCTTTCCATCTCAGCCTTGTGTACACTAACACAATCACCTTTTCTCAGGAAATTTCTTTATATCTTTTCTTCTTGGCAAGCTGACCATTTCAGTATGGCTTTAATTCCCACAGGGTAAGAATCATAGCATATTGCAGACATCCAGCTCAAAGGAACCCACTACACATTTTGAAAGTTAAGGGCCAAAGTCCCATCCTGAGACTATAACAAAAAGAAAAGCAGACTCCTGAGGCCCAAACTTGAGTATCTGTAACCACACCCATTTGTGCTATCAGCCCATCCTCAGTCAGAGCAGAGCTAGTAGTTGAGTTTTAAGGTCAAAGAAGTAGACAGAAGTCTCCGAGGGGCCACCACAGTTCATCCCAAGTGGTATGTCTCATCTTAAAAGGAGTAACAGACTAGGAAGAAATCAAAGGCCCAGATAAAGATTTAGGGAAAAGCCATTTACTTTTAGAGTGTCTAGATTTCTGGATTCCCAATTCTGTATCTACTCTTCTTGATCAAATCATCTATGGCCCCCAAGTCTGCTTAGCACCAGTGCTTACAATCAAACAGTAAAATTGAGATGTCTAAATGCAATTGGTAATCAAACCTACTTAGTCCTTTAAATTCCCAACAACCCTGACTCTTGAGTACAACCCAAAGCAAAAAAGGAACTGTCAGTGATGGTGGAATTTATTTGCAACAAAATATTAACAGGAGAATGCTGATATTCTCATTTACCAGTAGCCTATATGGTAATGTGTTTTTACACTATTTTTCCAAACAAGTACTTAATTCAAGTTTAATCTCAGAATAACCAGAAAAATTGAGTACAGTAAGAGTCAAAAGCATCAACATAAACTCTCCTATAATGAAATCTATTAATGTTTCATAGCTTTATCCATTTGCCATGAAAAAGCACTGTGATCACGTATGCCAGATGGCCCATTCAAGAATCTGATTATCTGGTAATGTCTTTTTGTACCAGGAGAACAAAACTATACATAAACAACAGCACCCGTGAGTGAAAAATGAGCACAACAGATAAGGTGAGAAATCCAAGTGCTAGACCCAAGCCTGCACAGCCAAGGAAGGAGACCCAATGAGAGAAGGGTCTGTAGGCCAAGGAGAATACCCTTGCAAGCTTTGCTCACTGACACAAGAGCACTTGTGGCAAACTGCCAACAATCCAGCAACCATCCAGAAACTGCTCAGGTCCTGGGCTGCACAACATAATCAACTGACATGACAGTCAATAAAACTGACAGACACTATCACAGACAGATGATGGAAATTGAAGAGCACTGCTCAACTCTATGAGTTCTCTGCCACAATATTGATGCCAATCCATGCTGAGTCTGTCCTGGGCACAAAACCAGGAGATCTTGCTTCCCTTAAACACTTGTCTGACATTGAATGTACTTAATGTTTTGGGAGGGAACTAAATAAATGACCACTCCAAGACATCACCACTTTAAAAAGCTTTCCGGAACAAGAGCATGGGTTATCCCTGGAGACAGCAAGTCACTGAAGCCAGGGAGCAACAGCACAGCATGATCTGGGGAGCACCAGAAGCAGCAGCTGTCCTCTTTTTATCTTCTAAACTTTGGAAGTAGAACTGGCTAAGTACTGACTACACAAGCATTAAGGATCTCTGAGTTCAGATCCTCAGCGCCGATGTAAAAGCTGTGCACAGTGGCATGCACCTGTAAGATACACCCACACCAACACATACATATACCATGCACACAAACAAATAATAATAAACAGTATAAAAATAATATACTGTCAAGGTTCTGAGTTACTAGATAGTGATCAATTGACAGTTCACCTGGTCATGCTTTAAAAAAAAAAAAAAAAGTTGAACACTGTAGACTTGGTTCTTACAAGATGGCAGTTTTGTATGTGATCACAACACAGATGGGAGAACACAAAAGCAAATCCTTCCTGCCTTACTTTCTAAGCCACCAAACCTTGGCTTTGGTGCAAGACCCCATTATGTCCTAACCTAGAGACATTCCTGGGCACCTACTATTAGCTTCAGTGAGCACCTCTGGTTGGGGGGCGAAGGACACAAAAACAAACAAACAAACAAACAAAAACCACACACACATACAAAAAAAAAAAAAAAAAAAAAAAAAACTCAGTCTGCTTCAATGGAGGACAAATACTATTATCTACTTGTAATGATGTAACAGCTATAGAAATATTAATAAAGCAAGCTCTGGGCTCCAAAAGAACACAAAGATTCTCTCCACTGCACTAACCAAGAGAACATA